ACTGATGGAAAAGGAAGGATGGACAAGGGAGCTCAAACAAGATGTACAATTGGAACAGATCAAGGGAAAGGGAGGTGAGGTGTCCCAGAGGGTGACATTATCCACAAAGTCATGCCTACCCCAGAGTCACCCACAGCAAGGGTGCTACCAAAGAGCATTCCATTCATTCATCAAGTACTTGTTGAGAGTTAATTGTGTACTGGGTATTGCTCCAGGCATTCACAGTCACCATCACCACCACCACCATCATCATCATCCTCAAAAAGTATATATTACGTTGACGAATCCATGGGGAAAAGGCATTGTCAATGCTGGTGGGAATATAAATTCATTAACTACTCTAGAGGTCAACTCACCTCTTTCAATTGTATCAATCTAAATTGTATTGATCTTTAAATTGAGTATACGTTTGAACCCGGTAATGTTTTTTTCTTTCCTTATTTAAACTGAAAAAAAAAAAAAACAGTACACCCATTTCTCCCACCCCCCAATTGCTCTGGCAACCACCAATCTGTTCTCTGTATCTATGAGCTTGGTTTCTTTTTTTTCTAGATTCCACATATAAGAGACATCATACCGTCTTTGTCTTTCTCTGTCTGACTTATTTCACTTAGCATAATGCCCTTGAGGTCCATCCGTGTTGTCGCAAATGGCAAGATTTCATTCTTTTTTATGGCTGAATAATATTCCATTGTATATACCACAATTTCTTTATCCCATTCATCCATCGATGGACACTTAGGTTGTTTACATATTTTGGCTATTGTAAATAATGCTGCCATGAACATGTAGGTGCATATATCTTTTCGAGTTAGTGTTTCAGTTTTCTTTGAATAAATACCCAGAAGTGGAATTACTGGATCATAGGGTAATTCTATTTTTAATTTTTTGAGGAACGTCCATGCTGTTTTCATAGCAACTGCACCAATTTACATTCCCACCAACAGTGTACAAAAGTTCTCTTTTCATCACGTTCTCGCCAACACCTGTTATTTCTCATCTTTTTGACAATAGCCATTCTAACATGTGTGAGGTGATATCTCACTGTGGTTTTGATTTGCATTTCCCTGGTGATTAATGATGTAGGGCATCTTTTCATGTACCTGTTGGCCATCTGTATGCCTCCTTTGGAAAAATGTCTATTCAGATATTCTGCCCATTTTTTAATTAGATTGTTTGGTTTTTTTGCCGTTGGGTTGTATGAGTTCTTTACATATTTTGGATATTAGCCCCTTACCAGATATATGACTTCAAATATTTTCTCCCATTCCATAGGTTGTCTTTTCATTTTGTTGATGGTTTCCTTTGCTGTGCAGAAGCTTTTTAGTTTGATGTAGTCCCTCTTGTTTATTTTTGCTTTTGCTTTTGGTGTCAGATTCAAAAAACCATCGCCAAGACCTACATCAAGGAGCTTACTGCCTATGTTTTCTTCTAGAAGTTTTATGGTTTCAGGTCTTACATTCAAGTCTTTAATCTGTTTTGAATCAATTTTTATGTACGGTGTAAGACAGTGGTTGAGTTTCATTCCTCTGCATGTGGCTGTCCAGTTTTCCCAACACCATTTATTGAAGAGACTGTCCTTTCCCCATTGTATGTTCTTGGCTCCTTTGTTGTAAATTAATTGATCATATATGTGCGGGTTTATTTCTGGGCGCTCTGTTCTCCTCTATTGATCTACCTGTTTGTTTTCATGCCAATACCGTATTGTTTTAATTACTAAAGCGTTGTAATACAGTTTGAAATCCGGCAGCATGATGTCTCCAGCTTTGTTCTTTCTGCACCAGGCAATTTTATCTCCAAGACTTTACTCTAAGTACAGGGACATTCTTGGAGTTTTATTGACAAGGATTTAGAACAACTTGAATGTCCAATAACAGTAACTAGGAAGCTAAATTGCGGTATGTTCACATCATGGAATACTATTCTGCCATTAAAATTATGTTATGGAAGCATATTTAACAACATGAGAAAATGTGCCCACTATTTAGTAACATGAGAAAAGCCAGTCACAAAACCATATTTATAGTATGAGTGGAATCAGGTTTCTAATTTTTATTTGCATAAAAATGACTGGAAGGATTTACAATGAAATGTTAAATTACACCTGGGTAGAGATATTGCAAGTCATTTTTGTTCTCTTCTTTCAACTCTTTCAGTATTTTTCCACGTTTTCTATAATTGAACTATATTATTCTTGCAATAGAAAACAACCCACATATGGAAATCAGGGTAAATAATAAGAGCCAAGAGTCCTATTACACTTGCTCTGTGCCAGGAAGCATCCCTTAAAATGTATCGGCACAAGTTAACCTCCATTTGCAAGAGCAAGATGAGAAGAGCCCATGCACCAGCCTTTCTTTCTGGGAGTTTACAGTGAAGGACAAGCAATCTGATCTCCCGTTAAGAACATCGCAAGAAGGAGAACACAATAGTCCATGGTCAAGGGCAGGGGGTGGGAGCAGTGTTAGAAAGACTTCCCAAGAAAAGCTCCCCTCTCCTGTGGATGGCTTGAGAAGCATGTAGGACAGAGGAGAGAAAAGTAAGCACGTTAGAAATGAGGGGCTGTGAGGCCCAGCGAAGGGAAAAGGCACTCACTCCAAAAACACCTCTGAGAGTTTCTACTTAATATTCCAACTCAAACACATTTGGCCACAGAACTGTGCATTGCGTTGCTTGTTTTTGTTCTTGTTTTCCACATAACAACTGCTAGTGCGAGGTAGAGGGCCTGGGGAAAGGCGCCCCAGGAGGCTGGAGCTGCAGGCCTGTCCCCAGCCTTGCCCAGGAAGGACAGCGAGCCAAGGCTCCACATGCTCTCCCCAGCCTGGGGCGGACATGCTCCAACCTAAACAAGCCAGTCTGCTTTCAAGCCATGTACGTGGGGTTACCTCACCTTAACCCCCTCGGCATAGTCCCCTAGAACATTCTAGAAGGTATGGTCACTGCTTTCTAAGGTTTTGAATCTTCCTTTCAGAATACCATGGCCCTGCTCAGAGGCTGAGGAAGTGTGAGAACAGGAAGCTCTGAGGCAGAGCAGCACAGCAAGGGAGGCTCAGCTCTGCTGTGAGGTTAGAACTACTTCCAGGTGAGAGATCAGAGGGTATGCGTGGGAGTAAGCATGAGACAGATGGAGACACAGAGATAGAGAGGAAAGAGGAAGAAGGAAGAGACAGTGAGTGCAAGGAAGGGGGGAAGGAGGGGAAGAGAGAAAGGGGAGGAACAGGAGAGGAAGGGGAAGAGGGAGAAGAGAAAGGGATTTCTGAGAAGAGCCAGGGAAGGGAAGGAAGAGAGCAGGAGAAAGAGGAGAGGGGAGGTGGAGAGGAGGGGAAGAGGAGAGATTTTTATTTCCAGTGAAGTCGAACAAACTGCCTCAGGCTTTTGGAGCAAGTACCCATATAAACGTTCTAGAAGGAACCCAGCTTCACTCAATGAAAGCAGATTCACAGTAAATAATGAACTAGATGACTGCACTCACTTGAATGTGGGGAACATTTTTATCTAACTGGCAGAGAGTCATTACTACCAAGAGATTTAGTGTACCACTCCAGCATATACTGTGGCATGGAAATAAAAAGACATGTATAAGATCTTAGGTTTCAGAGCCAAGTGATATCCAGAGTGCATTCCCTCCTCAGTCTTTGGTCATCTGACGTATTTTTCTGTTTTCTGTGCCAAAATACATATTTATACTAACAGTCATTTGTTTTCTTGAATTAATTTGCTTAAGGAGAAAAAGTGCACAGCATTTCAGATCATACTTCATTCTGTGCTTAAGAACATTACCATACACAAACTCCAAAGACAAGGTTGGGCTGCTTAAATTACCCACGTAAATTATTCACTTTAACATGTCCCTATTCATATAGGATATTCAAAATACCTTTTCACAACTGAGTTTTATCCCCTCAGAAAAGCTTGTCAAAACAACATCACTAATGCCTTTAATATTGTATTACATGTATATAATAAAATTAGATTCTTTTTCATACTTGGGACCATCAGCTTTACTTTGTGATCCTCTTGATCTTGTGCCAGCCCAAATTCAAGTTCAAAGCAGTCAAACATGTAATTTTAGCACACAATAGAAAGTCTTATTAAAATTGTGAGAGGTGTCTTCTTGAATAGAACGTTTGTGATAAAAAATGATAACCCTCAAATATGACACTTGGTAGCCAAGACGTTCCGGAACGCAGCCCACGCCTCCTATCTGTCTCCAGGAAGGGAGACCTCTGGTCCTTGGCCCACTTTTGGATGAATTTCTTTTTTTTTTCTAATTAATTAATTAATTAATTTTTTTGTGAGGAAGATCAGCCATGAGCTAACATCTGCCAATCCTCCTCTTTTTGCTGAGGAAGACTGACCCTGAGCTAACATCCGTGGCCATCTTCCTCCACTTTATGTGGGACACCGCCACAGCATGGCCTGACAAGTGGTGAGTCAGTGCACGCCTGGGATCTGAACTCCGGCCGCCAGCAGTGGAGCGCACGCACTTAACCACTGGCCCCCTGGATGAATTTCTCAGTGAGCCGTTGCCTGAGGCTGGGATCAGTTCCTCTGGGCAATGGATCAGAGCCACCAGCCTGCCCTGCCCCGAAGTGTGGCAACTGACATCAGGACCTCCCAATGTGTGCCTCCTCCACTGGGTGCCCGGCACCCCACGGCCCAAGCAATCAAGGCTGGGCAGACCTGAGCTGGAGGTGAAGCATACAGCCAGCGTGATCTTTCAGAAGCAAAAGAGCTTTTGCACAGAGGGTGGGCTGGGCGGTGCAGGGCCAGGCCCTCGCTCCTTTCTCTCTGCTTCCACTTCTACAGTCAGCTCCAGCATCCACGTCAAGATCTATCCCCATCCCTACAGCCTGGTTCATATGGTGGTGGCCCACAGGGGCCAAGAAGATGTGTTCAAGCCCAGGAGAGCCATCTTGGGGGCCCCCGCCTGGCAGACTGGAGGGAGGACTACTGACCTGTACCCCCACACCTCTCCCAGAGAGCAGAAGCACACTTACCTCTCATTTCTGTTGCTGAGGAGCCATTGGACCAGGCTGTCCACTTATTCCTGTGCTTGCTAATTTCCTGGACTTTGCAGACGTAATGCCCTTGATCCGCTGGCCGGAGGGTCAAAACAGAGAGTGTGTAGAGCGCCCCACGCCTCTCCTCAAGGAGGCGCAGCCTCTGCCTGTAGGCGCTGCGGCTGTAATTCCCGTAGTACTGTACCACCCGGAGCTTGGTCATCTTCACCATCAAGGCCTCCTGGGAGTCCGGGCGCGCGAAGAACCAGCGCACGGCCAGCAAGCTGTCCTTCCGCCTCTTCTGCGAGACGTGGCAGAGAAGAGTGGCATTTTCCCCCTCCAGGTAGTCAACCACAGGCCCTGGGGACACAGTGACATTGAGGGCCCCACAGACTTCTGCAGAGAAAAGAGGAAGGAGGAAAATGAGGAAGGCATTTCCTCAGGTGGACACACCTTCTTCCAGGAGCCAGGGTGATCAGCACGGCCAGAGAGGCAGGCCATGCCATCCCCTCCGTGCTCACTCTCCGCCTTCGTGACAGCCAGAAGAAGGGCTCTTCCTGGGGGCAGCCCCTGTGGGCTCCCACATCCTCCCCTATGAGACGATCCTGTCCACGTCGGTTGCCACTGACCTCCGGGCCCAGATATATTTTTTTAAAAATTTTAATTAGTTTCTGATGTTTAAAATTCAGGAGATTTCACATAAAGATTTGGATTTTTGGCATCTCTTAAAAATTTCCAGGCACATCCATCCCTCTCGCCTGCCTCCCTGAGGTCTGCTTCACGTTCATCACCTGCCTGAGTGAGTGATGCTGTGGGTCTGGGAGCTGCCTTTCTAAGCCCCTGCCCTGTCTCAGCTATTTCAACTGCAACCAAAGCAGATGATCAGGACTGGTCAGGCAGGTGTTAAGCTAGTACCAGGGAGCTGAAACCACAGGGGTTTCTCAGTTTCTTGCTCGAAGTCTCTTTGGACTCGTGAGCCACGGTATCAGAATTAAAGAGCAGGAATAAAGAATAAACGAGCCCAGGAACAGAGGGATGAGAGAACCCACCGACACCATAAAAGATGCTCCAGGACCCCAGGCCCGGTCCACTACTCCCTGTCCTTTGGTTTCCTAGTTAGATCCACCCCAAGGGCTGCCCATCCCCAGCCGCCGTTCTGCCCCAAGGTGACCTTTGAAGGAGACACCCCAACGCCCACCCAGACCAGCTAGACCAGTAGACCTCACAGAGGCTGAGCACTTTGTTGTCTCCAGGAGACATGCTGCATGATGTCTACAGGGACTGTGCAGAGGGGCTGTGCTGCCCTGGAGTTCGTGGGTGGAGCCATCCCCTGGCAGGCCAGCAGAGCCCAGAAAGGACACTTCGTAGGAAGGATGCTCAGAGCCTCCTTCTGCCCAAGCAGGGCTGTCTTCTCACAAGGTCCCACATCCCCACCCCGGTGCTTCCCAGCACACAACTCCAGAAAGCACCATTCCCTGCCCACCCCACTTCACAAGCAGGTGTCCCCAAGGTCATCCCAAACCACAAATGTCCCCAAATGTCACCTTCTGGTCACATGAAGGGACTTGGGCCCTGAGGTCAGAGTCACCAAAAGCTTTGAACCCTGGTCAATGCTGCAGGTAAGCAATGAGGAAGGATGAAAAAAGAGGTCAAAGATTTGAAACTTCCACTGTGAAGAGGCTGTGAGTCAACAAGATAAGGACCTATGTGTGTGGGGTAGGGGGGAGGTGAGGGGGTACCACATAAAAAGTATTCTTCTTTGTAAAAATCCAAGCAATAAGGTCATCCTCTTGTATGGTTTCCATTATCGATTTAATAAACTGAACACCTGGAGAGATATGACTTGAAGGCCAATTTTCTTTCTCATCTCTTAGAAGCCAGGCCCACCAGGATACTCCAAGGCCCTTAACTTAATCACATCCATAAAGTGCCTTTTGCCATATAAGGTAACACTCTCAGCTTCCAAGGATTACAACACAACCATCTTTGGGGGCTATCATTCAGCTTACAACACGACAATCTTTTGTTACCTTAAAAAAATAGGTGGAAGTAAATTCAGAAGAACAAGGTTGATGCTTGGCTGGACTCTAAGCAGCTTGTGAACAAGAATGAGGTCTTCTATGTCCACGGTGACAAGGGACAAAGCCAGCCCAGGGAAATACTCAGAGAATGCAGATCAACAGGTAACCACGGAAGGCACATGCTCTCTGTCCACACAAGTCACTCAGGCAGGACAAAAGAAGAGGAACTGCCCCCACCATCCCCTGCATCTCACCCACCTGGCCCATACCTGGCCCACACGCCATATTGAATTAGTCGAGAGCATTTCCCCTGACTGCTAAGGCCCTGTCTAAAGTCCACATGGGCCCCCACGGTGGAAGCTCCCTGGTGAGCGGCAACAAAGCCGAGAACCCCAGGCTGACCCCACTCCAGTAGCGGCCCAGGGGTTCGGCAGGCAGAGAGCAGCAGAGATGCAGCAGCTGGCTCCCAGAATTGAAGTCCAGATCCACCCACCCTCAAGGGCTCCCCACTAGAGTCAAGGAGAGCTGGGGAAGGCAGGAAATTGAAACAAGATGGGTGGGATGAGAGCGCAGCAGCCGAGACCCCACACCCCACTCTCCTCCTATTAACGCCGCTTGAAGGAGGGATTATTTATAGTGACTGAAACCAGGAGACCCTGCCAAGTGCTCTGGTCCCCAGGGTAGGCTGGATTCCATCCTAGAGGCAAACAAGTAACCCTTCCACTTCTGCAGCTCAGGCCAGGAGTCAGCAGCTCCCATGAAAGGGGATGGACTGAACCATCTTCCCAAGATGAGCTCTCCTTTTCTCTTTACCAGTGCGCCTCTCTGCCTTCATTCAGCCCCATAGTCTCTTACAAATGGCTCAAGCAGGTTTCTCCAACTGAAGTGCAAAGATCCTTGTTATGGGCTGAATTGTATCCCCTCCAAATTCATATGCTGAAGTCCTAACCCCCAGTACACAGAATGTGACTGTATTTAGAGATAGGGCCTTTAAAGAGGTGATTAAGTTAAAATGATGCCATAAGGATGGATCCTAATCCAATATGACTGGTGTCCTTATAAGAAGAGGAGATCAGGACACAGACAGGCACAGAGGAAAGACCACATGAGGACACAGGGAGAAGACAGCCATCTACAAGCCAAGGAGAGGACTCAGAAGAAACCAACTCTGTCGACACCTTGATCTCAGACCTCCGCCTCCAGGACTACGAGAAATAAATTTCTGTTGTTTAAGCCGCCCAGTCTGTGGGACTTGGTTATGATAACTCGAGCAAACCAATACAACCTTGTTCACAGGAAGGCTCATTTCAGCCCTACATCTGCCACCAACCTAGATATTTACACCCACTTTCAACACGAAGGTATGGGGGTGTGATTGAAATGGTGATGCTCAAGGGCCCCTCAGAGTCTTAAAGCTTTGCTAGTGGACGCAGGTTGTGGGGGTCCTCATGTCTGCAATCAGTTTTCTCAGGAAGCCAGGTGCCCCAGGTAAGGGCCTCCCCTCAACACTGGAGATGGCTACCTTAAACCCAGAAAACGCGGCTCGTATGCATGCAGCTGCGAGAGGTGACACCACCAGAGGGAGGGGAGAAAATGCGCAGAGAGGACCCGGAGCCTGGCCAACGTTAGCTCAGCGGGATGTTTAGTTAAATCCTAGGAGACAGCATCACACAGCTTCTGCCCCCTGCAGTCATCAGGCCCCTTCTGCTCAGCAGAGAAAACAGCAGTGGGATCAGGACGGTGGCAGCCAGGGCAACACCAACATTTGGAGGCAGGTGCCTAGGGGGCGGTGCCCGTGGGAGTCCAGGTCTTCTCTTCCTCATCTCAGTCAGTCTGAATGACACAGCACACACCCTGCAGGGCAGCGAAGCAAGCTGAGCAAACGTGGGCCGAGCGAGCCACAAGACAGGGGAGGGTGGGTGTCAGGAGACCCTCCTACACCCGGGAAGAAGGGATCAGCCCCAGGCAGGCAGAGTCTCCCCTTTCCTGGCCTAGGAGGGAGATTTGTCAAAGTCACCCTGGCCCAGAGAAGAACTTCAATTCTTGCTTTGCGAGCCTGCCTTGCAGGGATTGAGGTGGGAGGGTCTACCCTCTGGGCACCTCCGCATGCAGAGTTCCCGCTTCCTCCAGCCTGTGCCCCAGCTTAGCTTTGTTCACTTAATCACTCAACAAAAATACTTGCTGAGCAATAGCCCCATGCTGGGCACTATGTGTAGATGACGGCACTCCTAACCTCGCGGATCTCTGAGTCCAGTGCGCAAGGCGGCTGGTCATCAGGAAGAAGACACAGGAGTAAGTGACTACGAACAGTGCCACATGCTACAGAGAAAAGGTGCAGGGCTTACAAAAATCAGGGCAAGATCCTGATCTAGTCTGCGGGGTCAGGGAAGAAACAGACCCTGGGGAGGCGACTGTGAGCTGAAGGCTGAGCTGGAGTTAATGAAATAAAATTCAGAGCAGTGGAGAGGAATGATGTTCCTGGGAGAGGGTCCCACTTGAGCAAAGACCCTGAGCCAGGAGGCACCTGGTGCAGGCTGGAAATTGAAAGATCAGTGTCCTCTGGTGAAGCGCACTGCACCATGGCCTGCAGATGGACCACAGGAGGGGACTTTCCACCCCAATGAGGACCTCCAAGGCCAGATCTTAACGGAGGACTATGACAACATGGGCAGGGAAGAGACTGACCCAAACAGAGGGGCGGGACTCCTGCTGCAGGGAACCATATTCCTTCAGCAAGCACATGCTCGGTTAGGTGGTAGCCCCAGTTGCCCGATGTGGGCAGGGCACCAGGATGCCAGGGTTTCCCTGTGGCTTGGGGAGGGCTGGGCAGAGAACCAGGGGTTGGCATTGGACAAAACTGGGTTGGAAACCTGGTTCTGTTAGGTATAAGGTGCTCAGAGTCTTAGTTTCCTCATCTGAAAAACGGGATGATGCCTTGTGTGGTCATTGTAGGCCTCCAATGAGAAAACACCCTTAAAACACTCATAATAGTGTGCCCAGCTGAGAGCTGGGCAGGTGGGGCAACAGAAAGCGACAAACACTGACCTGTGAGCAGGGGGTGCTTCTTGGGTGTAGGATCTGCAGTCACATGGCCCTACACGTGGAGAGGCCCCCCACTTGGTTTCATCTCTACTGTCACTCTCTTGAAATTTTAATAATTTTTAAATAAGGGGCCTCACACTTCATTTTGCACTGGATTCCACAAATTATATAGCTGGTTCTGCCTGTAGGTGAACATTATATTCCTGCAGATAAGATTTATGGGGTCTAACCCTCTTGCTCCACTTGGATAGTGTCATGAAAATAACACAGCTCTGAAAACAGCCTAAAAGGACATCCATGGAGCCAAACAGTACACGACCCAGTCAACTAGTATACAACCTCTCCCCTTCCCTCTGGTACTCATCCTCAGGTGAAGGATGACAACTTCCAGGTGCAGGAGAGTGTAGGACTTCTAAAGAAACAAGACACCTGCCTCACCTGGGACACGGAGGTGGGCAGGGCTGGGGTCCCCCTCTTCCGCCCTGGCCAGTGATGTGCTAGTGGCTCTGTGCCCGACACTCCTTCTCTGTCCTGAAGAAACTGACTCCACTCACCTCAGGGAGCCAGGAGCCTCTACGTTTATAAGAAATGTAAGTTGTACCATTTTGCAGCGAAAATCCCATTCTCATTAAAGGAAGAGTCTGAATTCATGACAAGTAAATCTCTGAAAGAAATACAATTGTATTACTTAAAAACCCATGGCACCAGGAGCCAGTGTTTTCCAAGCACCAAGCAGAGGCGCTCCCAGACCTAGCCCACAGGGGACTGCACTCATATTAAGCCCATCACCTGAAAACAGCTCTCATCCAGGACAAACACGTGGGCTTGGCCAATGATAAAGGCAAGCATTTGCCGGGTGTGAACTCTATGCCAAGCACTGTTCTAAGCACTTTAGATGTATTTTCTCAATTTACATTCATAACTATGTTTATCCCCATTTTCTAGACAAGAGGGCTGAGACAGAGAGGCTAAGCCACCTGCTTAGGTGGCTTAGCTGGCAAGGCTGGAATCAGAACCTAGGTGATCTGGCTTCAAAATCAACTCTCAACCACCACTCGGGACCACAGCTTGTCTTTTATTAAATATTTTTGCTGCTCAGTTTCCTTTTCTCTAAAATGAGAGGTGTGGCCAGGTGACACTAAGATTCTGCTCAGCTCCAAGATGAAGAGGTAGGAAAGGGCAGGGGTTAAGAGTCCAGACTTATGTCTAAAGCGGCTCTCCCAGGCCCTCCCCTGGGGAATCGTGACGAGGAGTCGGAAGAGCGGGTGGCACACGGCGAGTGCTGCACAAGCAGGAGCCATCATCACTATCCAAAGAGTAACCTTGGGCACAGCCAGGGCAGACTCTAAAGGACCCCGAATTCCAGCTCTCAAGGCTCCTAAGGTCTCCTGGAAATATCAGAATGTCCTTGACCTCCAAAAACCACTCTTGGGGGAGCCCTCTCTGACAGCTCCTGCGATCAGGAAGGTGGTCCTGGAGCCTGGGGGAGGAAGACCCCTATGGCCCAGGCATCCGGACGGCTGCTGGCTACTCCACGCAGGCCACCAGAGCTAGCCTGGCCCAACCAGCCCGGTCAAACCTCCAGTCACTGTCAGTCAAGACAGTGACAACTGAGAAAGGAACGTTTCCCACAGTACCGATTCCAGGTTCACTGGAAGCCCCACTGCACTGGAAGCGGGGAACAACGGGTGAACTTCTTCCTGCGGTGATCCAAGTCACTCCTCCTCAGACTCTGCTCTATGCTGGCTCAAGTGCCAGCTCCGCCACTTAGTAGCTGGGTCACCCTGGGAAAATTACTTAACTCTGAGCATCAGCTCCCTTATTTACAAAACAACGGCAACACAGCTTAGCCAGCTGGAGCACAGAGTCTAGAGCCAGGCTTCCTGGGTTCGAATCCCAGCTCCACCACTCACAAGCCTTGTGACTTAAAGCAAGTCAATTCATGGGCCTGTGCCTCAGTTTCCTCATCTACAAAATGGGGATAATAATAGCACCTCCCTCAGAGGTTATTGGCAAGTTTAACTGAGTTAATGTTTGCAAAGAACCTGGATATACAAACATCTGCTCTTGTGATCATTACTTTGAAGTGTTGTGATTAAATGAGATAATGTGTGGCACTACACCTGGCACCCAGTAGGCAGCCAAGAAACGACAACCATTGATATTTTCCTTATCACTATTATTCTAGCCAGCATGGCCCCTTCCAGCCCTGAGGCAAGCAGGTAGGGCCCTGGGGAATAAAG